GCCGGCGCGATCACTTGCATTGGAAACAACTTAAAATATGCCGTAATTTTTGCTCATAAAGGTAAGAGTAATATATCACTCGGAACTGTAAAGGGTCTACTTTTATTTGTGTGCACATACAATATCAACAAAACGTTGTGCTTTTATAAAATAAAGGATACAGGATGCGCTTTCTGCAATTTCGGCCAGGAGCGCTTCACAATGATGAACTGAAACTCAGCGAATACTTGCCTCATAGACTTGCTAAATATATCTATAGAAAGCTTTAAAGTCAGGATCATCTTTGCAACACAGTCTCAGAAAACACTCATTTATTAATAAATAATTCTAATATCTCCTTACTATTTCCCCCTGACACATTCATGGTAATTACTTTTGCTGCGACATGCTTTAGCCTATTGCGTGCGTTTTTTGCTGTCATGTGCAAAGATATGTTTAGATTCTACACTGCACATGACCAATTGACTCACTGTTTGCCGTGGTTATCAAATCAAAACTCTTCCAAAATGCAGCGTTTCCCGAAGCACTGGGAACTAGTAACTCCCCACGCTCCAACTTCTCCCTGATGCTCTGCATGGTCAACTGTCACCTGTATGCTAATTCATGCGTATATGCGTTGTGTATTGCGTAGGCGATGTATAATATTTATAATATAATCAATAAAACAATATTTCATACAGTAGTGCGCTCTGCGCGTATATGGGCACAATAAAAGGAGTGAAGCTAAATGAGCCCGAGTCCGACCCGAGCCTGATCTGTAAAAAAAAAAATGGCCCGAGCCCGGCCCGAATGGACTCAGTGTGTCGGGACCCGACGGGCTTGCAGACCTCAACTTCATTCCCATTTGCATTTTGACCCAGCTACAAATGCCCATTCTCCACGTCTCCTCCTACACAGAAATATTGGCCATCAATGGCTTAGCACTCCAGTAATGAGATTTTCTGAGCCAAAGGGTGAAGGAGAATATCGTTTTCTTTAATTAACGAAGACCAGAGAATGAATGAGCGTTTCAAATATCATTCACGGGTTGGGGAAAAATCTAATTACAATATACACAGCTAAATTGGCCTTTCAGTGAATTGATATCGAAGGGGTGTGGTGCCGTATTGCCGATAATAGTCTTTGTTCCGTTCAGGAATTCTGCTCACATCACGGCACGCTCAAGCATACACGCAGAGACATAAGCTCCTTATATTTACCGCTAACAAGAAGCACAGGACACCCGGCGTATTGGGCATTAGGCCGATTCTGCCGCACGGTCGTACAAGGGCAAGGCGTCAGTTAGCACCAAAATAGCATAGCAGTCATTAGGCGAGAGTTGGAGGCAGGCAAATCTGTGCTGTTCTCACAGACTTTTGTGGAAGGTGCTGGGAAAAATAGTTTATAATGATTCCAAATGTTCCAAATCACATGAGCTATTCCACAGTGACCCCTTTTGGCCTGAGAGGGAACATCATCCACAGATGAAGCTCGGTTTGATCTGATCTCTGGTTAACAGAGGTTTGCGTAGGAAGGAATTTATTTTGCATCAGTGAACTGAGAGTGTTAATTGTTCTTAGATGTTTGGCATTAGAATTTGTGTGGTTGGATTTTGAGAGGTTTGCCTCATGTTTGCTCGATGCCAGCATCTATATTGTGTGCATTTATGCTTTTTGTTCGTTCAATACTTTGGCAAATTGGAGGCTCTATGTCAGTGGTTCTCAACCTTTTTGACTAATGAATATTGTCCAAGACAGTTCAACTGATATTCATTTCTGATGTGTGTTTTTTTTTACCCAAACTAGTAATATATCAAAATAATGAAATCTAAAATAATTATAGAGTTTACTGAATGAATACTGAATGTTTTCCAGGGTTCACAGTCTTTTATAAGTAATGTATTTACATGATTTTACAGTTGTTTGTGATTATGAGATTTAAAATAAATCCATCAATCAATAAATTTTACTAACAGTTTGCAATTTCTCAGCAGTTTCTACCCAGTAAAATAGTTTAGAGCTTGACATAAATATAGACAACATTTATATTCAGTTATATTTACATTACTTTTTATGATTTTATTAATTTGCTTTCCATGTCTAAAAATCACACTTTTTAAAATGTACTCCTGTATCTAGGTTTTCCAAGGCCATACAATGACAAGTGTTGAGGGAACAAATTAAAATAAGAAACTTACTTCTTGATTCTCTTTTTTACGTCTTGATTATCTGTTCTAGCTTATTTTAAAGCTGGTTTTGTCTTATTTTAAATAATTTGAAGTCATCTTGCAGCCCGCTGGTTGAGAACCCCTGCTCTATGTGATTGTATAAGGCAAGCATCCCTTGTTACTAAGTGCTCACACTTAAAGTTAGAGATTTGAACGAATCCATATAGTAGCACTAAGTATTGAACCTTGTCTTGCACCATTTGTGCTACCGCTACGTATAATGCATCTTGTTAAAGTTGTTACTTTTCTAAGTGATTTTTACCTGTGGATGACAAGAAGTGTGGAAAAAGCACTACATACTTCCATTGAAGGAAGGAAAGGAGCGATATCTAGAGACCAGAAACATCATAGAGACTTGCAACCTGCTAGAATACCCTAGCAAGGGAGCTTTTCATGAGCAAACATTACTCATATTTTCTTCAGATTATGTAAAAAATCTAGTGTCTTCTGTCTGTTGGCAGTAGTGTGACTATAAAAAGTCCTTCTGACTCCTTTTATTTTGACTCTCTAATTGTTCAAATGGCAATTAAGATCGGAGTTATGAGTCCAGAAATACAAACATTTTCCAAACACCGAGAGCAATAAAAATTCAAGCGCATTGCACAGCAGTTGCATATAATTAAGCAGTTTTTCGAGGACTGGCATGTATTCGGCCCACTTGTAGTTTTCCCAACGACCAAATAAAGGCCACAGCTACTTAAGTCCCGACTCCGGTGAACAAGCTCTCTCTCTCTCTTGGACTGCAGGCACGGATCCTTGCCAGCTCCTAAAATGTCATTCCTCTAAGTCTCCAGTGCCTCAGCTTTGGCTCGGTCAGTTCTGATGGAGCCATAAACTTCAAACGGGCTCAGCGCCCGACTGGCAGAATGCATTTCTCTCTCTTTTTCCTCTGGCGGCCGGCCACTGGAAATGAGCTAATCGCTCCTTACACAGACCTCCCTGAGTCCGGGCCAAAGGAATCTGAACATTATCCAAACCAATGACCGAAATGTTGAAAGCTGGTTCGCGGATCCAGCGATGGAATTATACAAGACAAACGTCTCCCTTTCTCTCCAGCCTCCCCTTTTGTTAAGACTGCTGTGAAATTGCACACAGACTAACATATGTTTGCCATTACAACACAGTACACGGTGTTCGCTTTTATTTGCTGTCATTTGCCTTGAAAATTCAATGTCTGATCCAGTAATCTATCAGGGATATTTTTGCTCTAACGGATTGTCAATAAGTCTCTTAGAAAGCCATATGTTGGAGTATGTATCATAAAACTGCTGAGACTGCTATGTTAAATTCAGGAAACACACGGTGGACTTCCAGACTCTCCTATAGAGCTCAACGGGCTGCCGTCTCCTCCAGCTGCTCTGTATCACGGCCCGGCCTTTCCTCCACAGCCTTCCCAGTCCACACCTCTGACCGAGCCCATCCTGAGCACCATCCAGCATAGAGAAACCCTGGAGAACAGGCTGGTGAATTGGTGAGACTCCATTATCTCGGCAAATATCATCTGCTGCACAGTTATGACCACAAATATGTCATGGTTTACACAAAAATATTAGGCAGCGCAACTGTTTTCAACATTAATGATAATAAGAAATGTTTCTTAAGCCCCAAATCAGCACATTAGAATGATTTCTGAAAGATCACGTGACTCTGAAGACTGGAGTAATGATGCTGAAAATTCAGCTTTGCTTCTCAAGAATAAATTACATTTGAAAATATATTAAAACAGAAAATAGTTATTAAATTGTAATAATATTTTACAATATTACCATTTACAAATAAATGCAGCCTTGCTGGGAATGAGACTTCTTTCCAAAACATTTTTAAAAATCTCAATGGTAGTGACCATACAAAGAACAAAACTATACATACACACACACACACACACACTGATTTATTTATTTATTTATTATGCAATCCTGTAGCTTATGCAGTAGAGCATGGTGCTAGCAACGCCAAGGTCATGGGTTCAATTCCCAAGGAATGCAAGAACTGATAAAAGTACATATCTTGAATGCAATGTTAGTCGTTTTGGATAGAAACGACTGCCAACTGCATAAATGCAAATTAATATTAATATACAGTAAATAAGACATAAGGCCCTTTTCAGTGAGTTTGATGCACTTTACTCCGGGTTGATCTTTGAAATGCATGTTTTGTACTTCACAAAGCTATGAATCTACTAAGTGACTGTCTCCTTACTCATTGAATATTCAGGCCAACATTGAGTTTAATTTATTGTTGCATCAGTTGAAGTAGTTAATGGCTGGATTGCTAATGACATGTTATCATCATCATAGCATAATGCCACTATAGCACTGTGTTGTCATTTCTGTCATAGGGTGGAGCAACAGCTGATGGCCAGAATGATCACTGGAATGTTCCCTCAGCCCATCCAGACTGATCCAGCCAGCCAATCAGAGCCAGAGAATAGTGTGGCATCAGACATAGGTGAGAATGTGTTATTTGTAATGTTTATAATTGTGACATTAGGTATTATTTTAAATTTCGAAAGCTCCCAGTTTAATAGCAGTGAAGTTTGTCTGTCTGCTGTTCAACCATCATACATCTTCACCAATTTACCAATGTGTCTGGTCAGTGTTAAAAATCAACAACACAATCAATCACGCATGACATAAACCAGCAAGAATGGTCGAGCTGCACCAGGTTCCAGTCTATAAGCTCATCATTTTGATTCATGGTGTCTACTAATGCAAGCAGCGCATTTGTCAAGCGTGTCAGCATGCAGCAAGATAGTATTTCCTCATTAAAATGCGATTGCTTGTGCTCAACCCCTCTACTCCTCCTCTGCTCTATCCTTCCGTCTCGGTCACGTCACTTCTGCTCAGTCGGCTGGGGGTCCTGCCTCATTAATTCTCGCTTTTGTTTAATAGAAAGATCAATGATGTATGAAATTTGCAGAGGAGGCTCGCGGCAAACTGTTGTCAGCATATTCGCAGACTGACTGGACTCTTCCTCCTGTAGAGGAACTGTATATGTGTTTGAACGCAGTCCTGCCCTAGACAAAAGGAAATGAGGGCCCTGCCAAGAATGTCAGTTCTGTATATTAGTTTTTTAATAGCGCCGGTCCAAAATGCTTACGGGTGCAAGAATTCAAAATAGGCTGGATGAGAGGTAAAGCGAGTCTCAAATTGGTTATTTGAAATTACTTTGCTGGCAGACTCAACTTGCCAGAAGGGCTTCATGGGAAATTTCTGAATATTGTGGAAATGCCAGATTTACAGACATTAAGTGTATGCATTGTTATTATTATTTGGATGCACATTAGGAATTTTTTTCGCTTTTTTACATAGATTACAATGAAATTTGATATTAAATATTAGCAATGACATTGCTGAAAGTGGTGAAAGGTCAGACCTGTGGCCTAGTGGTTTCAGATCCAGGTTTGAATCTAGGGATGTTTTGTCCTTATCCCATTGCCCAAAACACATTGCACTTCTTTTAAACCTTTCTACTGTCTTTTATCAATAAAAATGTGGTAAAAATAATTATTTAGTCAGCATTTAGAGCCACAAAGTTATGTTAGAAAATCATGTTAGCGCCATACTCCTGTGCATAGCAAGTAATAAAAATATGAATTTTAATAAATATTTATTATAAATTAACTGCTATTATAAAACTTCTTTTACATTTTATGCCTAATTTTTAATAAATATTGTGTAAAATAAGCTTTCGTTAAATGTCAACAGTTGACCTTTGCTAAGCTCCGCCCCCTTTGGTTTACATAGGGGGAAAAATCAGATAGAAAAGATCTAAATTGGAATGGATAATATTCCTGAGTTGGAATGAATTGCAGATTCTGAAAAAGTATTTTTATCTTATTTTTTTTTATTGAAATAATTTGTTAAATTATGCAATAACATGATATAAGACTATGAATCAGAATTGATGCAAATGCTTTCAGCCAACTTGTGAGTTTTTTTTTATTATTTTATAATTAATTTATTTTATAAATTTTTTATAATTATAATTTATTTTGTTTTATTTAACAATAACATCACTAATGTGAAAATGATTAGATGGCAACAGTTGCTGAGTTAGTATTTGTTATTTGCCTTTGTAATTAAAAAATTTTTTTTTTTTTTAAATGTGCTTATTTTTATTTAACATTAACCACACTTGTGGAAACAGTTTCTGTGTTAGTATTTTTCGGGTATATTGGTTTATATGCTTTTGTGGTTTTTAGTAGTTTTTGTTTTTTTAATATTTCTGTTTTGCTTTAACTCAACAACTTTTTTTTTTTTTTTACTATAACAACACTGTTGCTAGGATTGGTCAGTAACGTTATTAAGGTGGAGCTTAGGAAAGAGACCATTCTGTTTGTGTCTTTTTGCTGTCATTAAATTGCATCAGCCATCCTGTTCTTTAGATATCAGCATTGAAAATCCGGATTTCGCTGACCACTGCTATGTACAGTACTTTTAACTGTAGCCTTGTTAGCAAAAGATGCCGAACCATGTCCCATGTACACCAGATAATCCTCCGCTCTGTGTGTGTTTGTGTGGCAGTGGAGGCCGCAGGTGGTGGTGGTCTTCAGTTGTTTGTGGACACAGGGGTACCAGTGGACTCTGAGCTCATAAGACAGTGTGTAAATGAAGTGCTGGCTGAAACCGTTGCAGTAATGCTGGGACAGAGAGAGACACAGAGTGAACCCGTTGCCCCTGTCCAAACACAGGATGCTCAGGAGGTACTGGCATCCAAACACACTCTCATTCATCCAGGATGACCTTTAATACCATAAATGTGGTAATATTGTGGTAATATTGCAGAAGGTGACTGAGGTACCAACACCGGCACCCACTCCTGAGCCCAGTTCCAAAGACCCGCCGTCTCTTGTCAGAACCCCTGATCTCTCCGAGCATCTTTCTACAGCTCTGTCTCCCAAAGAAAACCATGAGGGATCTGCTTCACCAGGTCTGACAGTGATTTTTATGGACATACCAAATTACTCCCCATCTATTTGTAAAAGTGTAAGCACAGTTGTTTACACATCAGTTCTGCCTTTGTTTCAGGTCCAGGTAGAATTCCTGTGGGCACACCGACTACCACACCAATCCCATCTCCCACCAGGGTGGCCACACCCTCTCCTCCTCCAGCCAATCAGAGCCCAGATTCAGCCAGCCTCCAGAATCACCCATGGGGAGGAACAGAGCTCCCCCTGGAGGAGGAAGAACCGCACAGCGAGAGGCATGAACAGCCGTCAGCACCAGTGTACGTCTAAATATTGTTGCTTCATTCTCCTTGATTCTTGTTAGTCTCACAGGAAATATTCAGGCAAGGGAAAGAAAACATGCACTTATATTCATTTTATTTGTGTAGAAGAGCAAGGGCTGGTATTAAAAGCTATGGTTCAAACATTGGTAGAATCATGTTTGAGGTGTCAGTAGAGAAACTGTTTATTTTTTTTACTTATTTGCTATTAGCAGTAGAAAAAAGGTAGTATTTGTACTTCTAGTTTTTTTTATTATTATTATTGTAGAATTTTGAGAGGCTTCACTGAGGATGTGATATATAGGCCCGCAGTGCCACCTGCTGTTAGCAACAGTAACTCTATAACTCATTCTAGAAAAATATGTCCCATTTTTAAAATGACATAATTCCATTTTTAAAAGTATGAGATGATCACTAAAAATACAAATGTACCATTTTAATTTTTATCTTTATTTTATTCAAATTATTTAACATTATCACTCACTACCATTTCTCCTTTCTTCAGACAATTCTTAATGCTTCATATAGAATAAAATACATATTGAACCTAAGAAAAGCAAAAATATAATTAATATTTTCTTTTTAGAGATATTTTACTTCTATAATCTGACAGACAAAATGTTTAATTTATTTAAATATGGAATAAAAGCTGTGTCCCTACTTTGTATAGCTGAATTAAAACATATATTAAAAAACCTGGTAATATCAAAGCTAGTCTTCATCCTTCAGGTCCTATTTCCATATTTCACCTGCTTTGGGGTCAACAAGATCACACAGACTGATTCATTCATTCATTCATTTAATCAATCCGATTAATTTTATTATGACAGTTTAATAGGTCGAGCATAACATTAGTTTAAAAACCACCTGTCATCTCAATTAACTAAATTAGTTAATATTTTAATAAATATTTAACAATATTTTTGTGACTCCTCTTGAGTAGTGGTAAGCAGTTGTAATTTAGTGTTTCATTTTTATATTCTTTCTCTGACCTTAGGAATAAAAGTTGTTGCTGCTATAGCACCTTTACCACTTTTATATGTAAATGACTGTTTTCTATTTGTATGGTTAGTAATGTTTTGCTTCCGTGTCAGTGTAGACATGTGCTCAGTGTATCACTCACTAACACCCTCCATCTCTCTCACACGCAGTGTCATGTCAGTAGTCCAAGAGGACGACGAGGAAGAATCAGTCTTCCATCCATCTCCACCTCTCCCCTCCAAACCCACGACTCCCCCACCTCCTCTTCCTCCTGTGAGCCAGGAACCTCCTCCTGCCGCCACCCCTGAATCCTCCTCCTCCTCAGAGGAGAGCAGCTCTAGTTCCAGTGTGACTGTCACTGAGACTGAGACGGCAGCCAAACACATCTCAGAGGGAGAGCTGCTGCTCACTCACGGCCAGATGGCGGCAGTCAGAGGTACACGATCGGTCCAACACACACTCCCACAGCCAGACTGATCCAAAACCGCACTGCCTGCATAAGCAGGACAAAATGGACGTTTATAGATAAATGAGCATCTCACAAACCCACAAATAGAGCAGAAACGTATTATTTAATTATTATACAAGTAATACAGTATATAACAGTATATAAGATTTTTCTCTTATGCTCGCCCACACTACATTCATTTTTATCAAAAATACAGTAAAAAGTAATTTTGTGAAAAATTAAGTTAAAAAAGTAAAGAAATAAAAATGCTATTTATTCCTGCATTGGCAAAGCTGAAGTTTAAGCAGCCATCACTTCAGTGTTCATTGCTTTCAGAAATGCTGATTTGGTGCTTAATTGAATTTATCATTATTGGTGCTCAATTATTAAGATAGGTTCGTATTATTAACAGTTTTGAAAACATTTTTGGTGCTTTATATTTTTGTGCAAAATATGATACTTTTGAATGATTATCTGCAGTTCAAAGGAATAGCATTTATTTGAAAAAGAAATCTTTTGTATCATTATAAACTTTTGATCAATTGGTTGCTTCATTGCTGAATCTTTAAAGTGCCCCTTTTATGGATTTTTGAAAATTACCTTTCATGCAGTGTGTAACACAGCTCTAAGTGAATGAAAACATCTTGCAAAGTTTTAAATCTGAAAGTGCACCGTGTATAAAGTTATTGTCTCTCAAAAGAAAGAGTCGACTAAGAATCATTAAAACAAGCCGTTTTTAAAACGAATCCCAAGCCGTTTCATGTTGATGTCAACATGAAACATTAGCATATTGCCAGCTCATTTGTTGGTCTTTTCGCGTTGGTCTGAATGAAAATGCAAATTCATTCTTTGCCACTAGGTGCAGCTTTTGGAGCGGTAAAAATACGGTATCCCGGTAACGCTGTACACAAAGCAGCACTGCGCTCACAAACGCTGCTTTATCAGGCATTACAGGCGTGATGAAATGAAAATGAAACCAATCGGACCAATCACCGCCGATTAGCGTCACGCAAAGGAGGGGTTTGGAAAAATGAATCGTTGAGCGAATCGTTTGGGAGTC